TAGATGTAAGTCCTTTCGAATGGCTTCATATGTTGTAGAGATCCTTCACTCTAAATATTCCTCTTTTGATGGCTATTTTTATTTCCAAAATTTTAATATATTAAAACCATGCTGCAGTGTGTGTGTATATTAAATGGACAGGGAAATCTATGGAGAAATCCTAGAATTGGAATTGTTTAGTCAATAGGAATTAATATTATTTTAAAAATTGACAATGCTTTCAATCCTCATCCACATTGAGTTTGACTAATCTGGTAAATGGTATCAGTCAAATACATTAAAATACCTTGTTTAAATTCAGTTTCTTAATTACTAGTGAATTTAAATGTTCATTTCCTGTGACTTAAATGTTTATATTTCTCTTATGACTTGCTCATGTCACTTGCCCATTCTTACTCAACTCTTTTTCTTACCGTTATGCAAATGTTTCCTATAGTTTAGAGATAATAGATATTATAGCTGTCAGCATTGCAAACTTTTTTGTTCTTTCACTTGTTGAAAAGATTTTTTAAAGTGCTATTCAAGCATTTAAAAAATATTTTAAAATAATTTTAGACTTCCAAAAGATTGTGGAAATAGTACACAGTTTTTATACAACCTTTACAGATTCCTCAAATATTAACACTTTGCAAAACCACAGCAGTTGTCAAATTCAGTAAATTAACACTGATACAGTACTATTGTCTGTCTAATGTGCAGATCTTACTCAAATTTCACCAGAGTCCTTCTGAGCAAGGATCCTATCCAGGATCACACATTGAATTCATTTGTTGTGACTCCTTAGTCTCTTTTAATCTGTTAATCTTCAACCTTTCCTCAGTCTTTCTGTCTTTCATGATCTTGACACTTTTTAAGATCACTGGCTGATTGTTTCATAGAAAATCCCTTGATTTGGGTTCATTTGATGCTTCTTCATGAGTATGTAATCAAGAGAGTGACCTAGTCTTATGATGGTCAAAAATAACTTGCCTGAAGAAGAGAGGCTTAAGGTAGCATGGGAAAGATGGGTAGAAAATGGAAGTGTGAACTGAGGATGGGGTGCCTTTGCATTGACTTTGCGTAGTGCATTTCAGCAACTGAAAGAAGCCAGTGGAGGAAGTGGTGTGAAAGAAGGCTGTAAGGAGACAGTCCAGTCAGACCCAGCTTTGTGGGATTTATTAAGGATATAGGATATTAACAGCAATGGAACTTGATTCAAGCAAGGGCTTTGACCAAAGGAATGGCAATATCTGAATCAGATTTTTTAATGATCACTACAGGTAGATTCTTCACCAGGTAGAATTAATCAAAGGGGAGCAAGATAGAAACAAATACAACAATTAAAAGATGATTCTAGTAATGCAGGCAGAGAAAAGGGCGGGGTGTACATTAAGGAGCCTCCCTAAAAGATGGTGAAAACCTGCCATTTTGAGAGATGTTTTGGAGGATGAATCTGAATCTGCACATGCAGGTGGTAGTAGATTGGATGTGGGGCTAATGGAAGGGGTAGATGCCAGGTTGTTAATTTCAGGGTTTGCCAGATTTTGTGTAATTGATTGGGTGTTGGTACCATCCATGGAGATGAAAGAGACAATTCTTCACCTCTGATGGTGAACTCAGAAGCATCACCATCTCCAATTCTTTTAGATGTCAACAATATAATATCTTTGTTTGTTTATACTCCTGTATCTCATTATAGCCACTTAGCTTCCAAGTTCTATGGTTTTTCCTCCGAATCTTCCCCAATAACTGTTTATCCTTCTCCATTCCTTTCTCTGCTCTTCAGTTCAGACAAGGGTTTCCTGATTCCAGTGTTGCATACTTGCTTGTTTCCTCTCTGGGCCACCAATTCCTCTTCTCTCTGTAAATTTATTGATCACTGCCAGAGTATTTGCATTTAAAAATATGTACTAAATGCCTCATTTGGGCAGATCACCTTGTTGAGGAGAGTTGGAAATTAAGTCAGTGAAGTATATTTCAGGGAACTGGAGTGAATTCCCAGTTATAATTGAGACAGAAGGAAAGAAGGCCATTTTGACTAGCAGTCAAGAAAGGACCATATTCTTCTTTGACTACTTATGTAAAAATAAATTCCACACAAGTCAAACATATTTATCCTAAAATGGCTAACCACAGAAGTATGAAAGAAAAGATTGGCAGACATATTTTAAAACTGTTTATGATGAGTAAGTTTAAAGGCCTTTTAAAGAATGTTAAGACACCTAGATACCATAAAGAAAACAGGTCCACATGAAAGCTTAAATTTTGAAAATTCTATGTAAAAATCAAACAACTTTCAAGCAAGAATGTCAACTGAACTAATAATTATAGAAGGAGTAATGGAAACAGAAAAACGGCCACTTTCAAACACCACAATAATTGTCTCAGGGAAAAATATCTTTGGATGCTACAGTTAATGGGCAACAGTATATTTGCATAGTCTCCTTACAAGACACTTTTCAATAATAAAGAGAAAAATAGTAAGGGGAGAGATCTGACAGATATAACTTAAAGAAATGATCAAGATTAAAATCACTAATAGTTGAACAATTCAATGACATATTTCTCCTGATACATCATGAAGGATACACCATCATGTAGAAGGTATTTTTTGCCAGAAAATGCATAACTCTCATTGTTTTTTGTATTTCATCTTTGTCACAATTACCACAATCTTTAGTAGATAATTGTGTAGATAATTGTTTGTTATTTTTACACCTCTCTGCCTCACTCCTGTCCCCTATCAGAATGTAAGGTTAATAAAAGCACAAAGTAGGGGCTTTATAAATCACATTGAATAAATGAATGAATGAATAAACTTATTTGGAGCTATCAATATTTGCAGGCAAGATGTATTTAGCCTTGGACTGTACTGAATGAAAAATCACAGTTGGGTATCCTTGTGGAAATGGATGGAGGACGTTTGAAGGTATAATGCTAAAGCTCAAATTAAGCTGAAGCCATGAAAATAAAAGGAGTCTTATAGAATAAAGATACATCAAGAAAAAAAGGCAGAATATTAATATTTGAGATGCAAAGTGAGGGAGGAAGAAGGAGAAAGGAAACACCTTGACTTCATAAGGGCCAATGCAGGAGTTGATTTTAAAATCGGGACTGTTCACCTGATCAGGGCCTGGTGCTTAGTGGGGGTTTGTAACTGTTTGATGCAGTGAGTCTCAAGTTTTAATATGTGTAAAAATGTCCTGGGCTGCTTGATAAAACAAGAGATCCCTGGGGCACCCTTCCTAGAAATTCTGACTCAGTGGGGCCTAGAAATCTGTGTGTGTGTGTGTGTGTGTGTGTGTCCAGCGCACCCCTCCTCCATCAGGTCATTTTAACGCAGGCGGACTATCCAGGAACCAATCCCAGAGGGAACATGGCTTCAAAGGCAGGGGGATGTCAGCTTTAGGGAAGGAAGGTAGGACCGGAATAAGTGGTGAGCAGATAGGAACAGCAGATGACGACTTGCTAACAACTTTGCCAGAATAAGGGATTCTTGAAGAAAACTTTTTAAAATGGATTGCCAGGGAAAGTGAAGGAAGGAAACTGTCTTTTCTGCTTCTGCCTACTGCACTGAAGAGATTGTCCAGTGCAAAATCAAACATATGAATACAGCCTCCATTGGGACGTGTTAAACAGTTAAGATTCTTGTTGTTGGAGAACACTGCAGAAGCGGTGGATGAGAAGCACTTCAGGATAGATGTCTTTTGCTTTTGAATATTAGAGCTGGACTCAATTCATTTTGTTGAACTACTGTCCTTAAGAAAATTAAATAAAATTGATTAATAATGCCCAAGGACTAACTCCATTTCTGAGCTTTCAGGCAACTGGCAGGCAGGAAAATGATGCTATTTAAAACATTTTATTTGTGACTCATTATATTTCATTGAACCAACTATCTTTGGGATAGTATTTTGTTAAAAGCAAATTGCAATAAAAAAGGAAGTCTATTAAAACCTACATTAAAATTTGGTGCCTTTTGGGTAGCTTATCTTTAGAAATGCATTATTTCTAGGAATTTATAGCATTAATTTAAAGATTCCAAAATTAGTACATTGATGAGCATATGAAATGGCTTTCATAAACAACAAAATATAGAATTTGTATTAAAAACTGGCAAATATTTTGAATTGAACTGTGTCTTGATAGAATAATTATGGATTTGAATTTCTTAACTGTATATACCAGGTGGTCAGTCCACAGACACTAAATCATTCTGCCAGTGAAAAAAGTGAAGGGAGCCGGCCGTGGTGGCTCACACCTGTAATCCCAGCACTTTGGGAGGCCAAGGTGGGCAGATCACCTGAGGTCAGGAGTTCAAGACCAGCCTGACCAACGTAGTGAAACACCATCTCTACTAAAAATGCAAAATTAAGCAGGTGTGGTGGCTCATGCCTGTAATTCCAGCTACTTGGGAAGCTGAAGCAGGAGAATCGCTTGACCCTAGGAAGCAGGGTTGCAATGAGCCAAGATTGCACAATTGCACTTTAGCCTGGGCAACAAGAGTGGAAAAAAAATGCACTGAGGAGATTGTCCAATGCAAAACCAAACATGAATACAGCCTCCATTGGGATGTGTTTAATCACATTCCAAAAAAAAAGTGAAGGGAATGAATGCCCTTTTATTTCTTCGGCAGAGAGGAGATTATGAATCAGATATTTGTAATGCTGAACTGAAATCTTCATTTCCACAGTAAACTTTGTCATTCTTGTCCAAGGCCCAAGGATGTGACCTTCACTTGGATTTTGCTGATTACTATGAGAGGCCACGTGCCAGTGTTGCTGTCTGACTGAGAGTATGAGCTCTGGACTCCTGGGCACCTAGAGTCTCTGCTCTGTCATTTGTTTAAGTTACTTATCTCTTCTAGGCTTTAGTTTTCTTATCTGGAAATGGAAATAATGGTAGTAATCATTTGTTGAGTGTTTACTGGCACCAAGCATTGTGCTCTGTTTTATAAGCATTGTCTTACTTCACCTTCTCAGTACCCCTATTCATTATACTATTATCAACCTCCTTTGCAGTTTGGGAAGCTGCAGTTCTGCAATTAGCGGTTCCTGGAGCCCGAATTTGAATTCAGGTATTCTCACCCTGAAGACTGCATGTCTAATCCCAAGGTTCAACTGCCTCCTATTGGAAAAGGCTAACTGAGATCATATGTGCTTATGCATCCAGTTAACCAGGGAAGGAAAGCATTCTGTTAATGGTAACTATTATTATTATACACTTTTTTTTTGCTATCTTTCTTTATTAAAGGTGAAATAGTACCTTACCTGCCCAGAATTCAGCTCACTCTTACCTAGAAGACAGTCTAGAAAAAAGGCTTTTTGAGCAGCAAAATTAGAAATCATGTAGCACATTCACTGTAACCAACAGGTAGTTCACTCACAGAAGATCTCTCCTGATCCATCCCAGTCTACACTTTAACTCTATAAATAATCTCAGATAATTTTATCAGTGAGAGAAAATAGATTAAAGAAGGAAAAAGACCAAAGAAGTTTAGTGAATAAGTTGCCTTTTAATTGATTTTTGTTTCTAAATGAATGACAGATTAAATAGCAAATTAGAAATGGAAGGAAGTATTGTTATTGGCAGGAAGCATTGTTACCGCCAGTGAGCCACACCTACTTACTCAGGTCACTCGGGCACTCAAGTTGAAATAAAATGTTGAATTATCAAGAAAGGGTTAATGTTTCTATTCTAAGTTAAGGAGTAAATAATATATCTTAGAACTATTTCCTTCAAAAATATTTAAATCTCATAACATTTTATTATTGTTATTTACTATTTTAGCTATTCAGAATCACCTCTTTTGCCATGGGATTTATATAGCTAAAGATTTTCTTATATTTTGAGTGGAATCCTATACTAATTAGGGAGCATATTACAGAATCCTAAGAGTGCCTTATGTAATGGCATTTAAAATCATGTATAATAACAACTCAGAAGAGAACAGTTGCAGGGAAAGATCAGCAGCTCAGCCATGTGAGCAAGGAGACAGGCTCATTCCTCCTGTCTGGATGGCTCTGCCATCCTCCAGCCACTGGCTGTCCTTGGGCTTGACCGTTCTAGGTTGCAAAATGGCTGCTGCCTTTTGAGACTTATGTGAAATCACATGTTAGATGAAAAGGCACATATTCCCTAGGATGTCTCTTTGTATTAGAGATAAAAATCTCTCCCAGAATCCTCCCAAATGATTTCCCCTCGTTCTCATTTTCCAATATTTGGTCACTTGCCAGCCAGCCAAGCCCTGGCTGCAGGGGACACTGAGAAAGTGAATATCTCTAGTGGGACTGGGCCCTGCTGGTGAGGAAGAAGTAGTGGTGGCTAGGGGATAGAAAACTGTCTGTCAAAAGCTCATTGTAAAGAAGCAAGTAGTTACACATCAACTAACCATTTGACATCTGTCAACTGTTAGGAGAGGTCACTAAGCTCACCTCTCTACATCTGCTATGAGAAAGAACTGATTTTCTTTGAGTTTCTTCCTGAAAGCTGGGAGCTATAATGGAACTTTAATGTATTACCTCACTTAAGCTTTAGTTGAGTTCCAGAAAGTTATTGTCCCTATTCAATGGATGAAGATAAGGTGCATAAAAAGGTTTAAAAAGCTGCTATAGCACTTCCAACTAGTGACAGAAACTGGATCTTCCTAAAGTTGTATTTGGCCCCCAAACCTTCAGGCTAAGGGCACTGAACCACTTCATCTTGGTGGCTGGATAAAAAGTTTGTACGACACTATGCAAAATAATTATTTTACCGTCAGTGTGTGACTTGATTATACTTAAGAGCAGTCTGTATCTACCTCAAAGTAACTTAACACATGCATCAGGGGGGTTTATTATCTTTCCTGTAGCAAATTCATTCTTGCTCGTTGATCTAATACGAACCATTCTATTGTGACTGGTGTAGTTAACGTGCAGTATACCTCTAGAAGTAACAGACAAGCACCTGGCATCTAGTAAATGATCATATAATACTTACAATATAGGGAAAAGCATCTCATAAAATCTATTTCTAATATTATGATCATTTCATTTTTACCTTATCAGTATTTTAGTCCAGATAATATATCATCTGGGTCTTAGCATATTTCTGATGGCAGATACTGCAGAAGATAAGGGTAAAAAAATCAATGTGATCTTTGCTTTTGATGTCTGAATTTTTAAACTCTTTCAAAAGGGGACATGAAAGATAGGCCTAGATTTATTTACTTTTCCTGAAGTAGGACCCAATCTGTAAGAATGTGATTCAGGAGATCCTTCTTTGTATCTCTGTCATTTAAGACATGGAAATGACCCTTTACCTCCCTTTATCTAAATCAGATTATGTCAATGCAGCCTACAGGCTGTATTATAATAATTTTCTTTCTCTATCTCCAGCTGAGTAAACTGCACCATGTTCTTCCTGGAAAACATGACCACTAACCCAGTGGCTGTTGATTTGGCCAATTAGAAATGAGACTCCAGGAGGTGATATAAGGTGCTCTGTCCTTTCTTAACTGCCAGTGGGCCACACCTACTTATCCAGGCCACTAGGGCACTCAAGTTAAAAGAAGTGCCTGGGAGAAAATGGCACATTTGGGTGTTGGTCTCCCTGGCTGTTTACTGTATGCTGAGTCTCTAAGGAGACTGTTCACTGCCTGGTAGTCACCTCCTTTCTGAATTCTGTAAAATATTGCTTTGTGGGTGAAAATGGGTCAGGATTCTGAACTTTGCCACCACTACCCCCTACACCCACACACACACACACACACACACACACACACACACACAGAGTATTTTAAGAAAAAGAAAGAAAGAAAAGAAAAGGAAATTAAGGCTGAAAAAGTCACAAAATAGGTCCGATGTTTTCCTCTGTTCATTCTTGCATTATTTGCTGCTGGTTTTAAAGGGCAGAATGTTGAGACTTCCACATTTTCTTGGGGGACTTCAAACTTGGGAGATGTTGCAGGGACACAAAAACCAAGAGGATTTTCCTATAGTTACATAGAGAGTAAATTGTTATAAGCTCAGAGCTGTGAAATATCAATTTGGAGAGGGTACTTACCTCTTCCCAGGCCACTCACAGATGACACCACATTTTTGCCACATCCCCTCTGGGCACAGTTGACTGCTCAGTTGGTTCCTGAAGCTACTTGTTAGCTGAATCACTGGGATGGGGGTTGGCCTCTATGTGTTCATTGTGAATATGTATGGTTCTGACACTGTGATTCCCCACACCCTTGTGAGTCAGGATTAACAGAAAGCAGACTCTTTTCTACTCCTCTATAAAAGGTCAGATTAAAAAAAATATGATGTCTTTGGAGATTATGGTCAGGAAAAGGGGCTAGCAATAAAAGCAAGAAGACAAGAGTTCTGAAGCCAGAACTCTCAAGAGGTATCTTACAGGTTAAATAGATCACAAGGCGGAAGTTCAGATGTTATCGAGCCACAAGAATATGAGGTAGAGGTTAAGAGCAGGCTGAGATTAAAGCAGGCATTTCTGATGAATGTTTTCTATTAGTTTTAAGCCACTTTAAAAGCAGAGAAGTGGGGCTGTGACAAGCCCCCTGGCGAATGAAGAAAGTGAGCCTTGGAGGGGGCTCAGTAAAGGATATTTAGCAAGCGAATGATAGAGCCTAGACTCGCACCCAGCCTTGTCTCACTCCAAAGGCTGTTTGTACCACGTGTTTTACAGCACTTTGAACTTCCACTTTGGAGGGGGAGTTTGTTATATTCTTGGATGATGTTGAATACTTCCCATTCATTAGCATCAGTGGATTTCAAGTGCTATGAGATAAAGTACCTCTTACTGTACGCTCAGTTCAAAATTTCTCATTATTTTAGTAAGACCACAGTAGCACAAATGGAAAGTGATACTTGCCATTAATTTTTTCCTGTTTTAGATTCTCCTGGCCCACTTGGTTTCTGATTAGATTGAGGTGACATGGTGATTTTTTGTTCTATTTTGTTTGCATTATTGATCTATAGCCATGGTTTTCAGGCTTTATTGGTCTTAGAACCCCTTTATACTCTTCATTATTAGGGACACTAAAAAGCTTTGTTTAAATGAGTTATATCTATTTGTATTTACTGTACTAAAAATCAAAACGGACTTTTATAAGAGTATACAATAAGCATTCCATTAACTCTTGTATCCTCTGAAAATCTCCACTATACAACTGTGAAAGACTGATATTTAAAAAATCAAATAATGTTTTAGTAATATTGTGAAAGTAATACTGACCTCACAGACTCCCTGACAGGATCATGGGGAACCTGGGCCACATTTCGAGAGCCACTGATCTAGAAAACATACCTGTTTATGTTGATGTTGGCAATTGTTTATAATGCAGCTGTAAGTCCCTGGACTAGGGGCTACAAAACAAGGGAATTAAGACAGGACCATCAGGTAATAAACGGTTCAGAAAATAAGTTGACTGACCAATCTGTGAAGTTCTTTCGTCTTAGACTTAAAAGGAGTTAGCTTTTATTTCTGAATTATTAGTATGTTCATATGCAGGAGTGAATAGTGATTGTTTTTAATCTATAGTAATTTAATAAATTCTGATGTTTAAGATATGTTTAAACGTTTCATCCAGATAGAATTTTATTACAGAGATGTTCATTTCATTGTTTCTACTCATACTTAACCATTGTTTTTTGGTCACCCAGCCCTGAATGCACCTTTTCTCTCTTGGCATATTCCACTGCTGCCTGCAGAAGGCTGAAGTGCTAGATACTTATATCTTTGGCCATTTTTGCAGCTAGACTGCAGGCGTGTGACCCAAACTCTGCCAGTTATACACCTGCATCTCATGCTTTGAAATAGAAACTAGGGACATACAGAAGTACATGGCGGCTGTACATCATTCCCAGGGCAGCAGCTAGTTGCTGGAATTGCTCATGTTGGTAGAAGAAGCTGTAGAATTCCCTGCTTATTAGATAATAGAGACAGCAGGGGTGTTTTCACCAGGCCAGTGCTGCTGTGTGGTTTGGAGCAGTGTTCCTGGATGTGTAGCTTCTGAACCTGATTTCTCTGGCCTGCCTAGAAATTTGTGTTTTTTTTCATTATCCTTCTATGAATTCAAGAGTCAGACCTTTGTCTGCAGCTAAGAATCCTACTTAATTCATTCTGAAATGCAGTGTCTCTCAAAGTATTGTTTGGCAACCTCATGTATATGGAATCACCAGGGCCATATCTGACAGTATCTACTTGTAGACTTAGAACCGATGGATTCAAAATCCTTAGGGTGAGTCTTAGGAGACTGCATTTTAAACAGATCTCAGGTTTATGTGATTTTAGATGCAGTAAAATTTAAAAACCGTGACCTAATGTTTATAACTTTTTAAATCCTATGTTCTCTCTTTATGGATATGAGCAATCATCAAAATAAATAATTCTCTCTTTTTTTTTTTTCGAGTTGGAGTCTTACTCTGTTGCCCACGCTGGAATGCCGTGGCATGATCTCAGCTCTCTGCAGCCTCCACCTCCTGGGTTCAAGTGATTCTCCTGTTTCAGCCTCGCTAGTAGCTGGGATTACAGACATGCACTACCACACCCGGCTAATTTTTCTATTTTCAATAGAGACAGGGTTTTGCCATGTTGGCCAGGCTGGTCTTGAACTCCTGACCTCAGGTGATCTGCCCTCCTCGGCCTCTCAAAGTGCTGGGATCACAGGCATGAGCCACCAAGCCCGGCCAATTCTACTCTTATAAAGCCCTAAAAAATGACTTAATAGTGTTTCCTTTTTCCCCTCCTTCCCCTGCTTTATATTCCCCATAAGCCTTTGCTCTATCTTTTTAACTCTTTTAATGTTTTTTTTTCCTGGTTTTATTTTTTCTCACTGAGAAGTGTTAATTCCTCAGTTGAGATTGCCTACATTCAGTGGTGCCAGAATTGTTAACTCGGCTTCTAAACTACACTGTGATGGAGCATGTCCTTTCTTGGGCATTTTTGTAACCTGTAGGCTTAGAGCTCAATGTTTACCCCAGGGATTACTGGAGACAATGGAGGGGAAAGACTGGGATACAAGAGTAATTTTTCTTGAAGGGTTCCTTCACCACACCGTGGATTTAGGCCAGAAAATAGCACTGGAGGTGTTGATCTACTTTGGAGATTTCTAGAATCACTGATTGTTATAACTGAAAAGAATCTATCTCAACCCCTTGTTTCCTAAATGAGGAACTGAGGAGAAGATCCACATCCAGAGCCATCTAAGTGATGAGTGGGGTATAAAGGAGAAAATAAATTTAGAGGTGGAAAGTGGCAATGCAGAGCTTGACCTACACTAGCATAAAATGGAAGGGAATTACTAATGTTTATTGAATGGATATTTGAACTTGGGTACGTTCACTTGACTTCTTTGAGCCTCAGTTGTTTGAACTACAAAATAAAGATTCTAATAATAGCCAACATTGATAAAATATTGGCTATATGCTGGGGGCTATTGATATTTTAAGGACTTTATGTGCTAACTCATTTAATCCTAGCACAACCGCATGACACAGGAACCACTGTTTCTCCCATTTTGTAAAGGCACAGAAAGGCTACATAACTTCCCTGCAGTCACACAGCTAAGCATATTTGTTTTCTATTGCTGCTTTTCAAATTTTTATGAGATTAATAGCTTAAATATACATTTATTATCTTGCTGCTTTTTGGGTCAGGAGTCTAGGCACAGCTCATCTAGGTCCCCTGCTCATGGTCTCACAAGGCAGCAATTGAGTTGTTGACATGGGCTAGGGTCTTATCAGAGGCTTGGAGTCATCTCCCAAGCTTGTGTGGTCATTAGCAGAATTAATATCCTTGCAGCTTTGGAACTTGAGGTGGCTGAGTCTTTAAGGCCAGCAGGAGAGAATCTACTTCTTTTAAAGGTCTTACCTGATTAGATCCAAGCGAGCTAAAGACCACTCAGGATAATGTTTCTTTTGATTAACTTAACACCAACTATTAGGGGGATTCATATATCTATAATATCTTTTCATGTTTGCCATATGTTTCAACATAATCACAGGAATAAAATTCTATGACCTTTGCTATCTTCTATTGGTTAGAAGACAATTACAGGTCTTAACCACACCTAAGTGGAGAGGATTACATAAACCTACAGATATCAAGGGGCAGGAATCACAAAGCTATCTTAGAATTCTGCCTGTCATATTTCTAAGGTTGAGTTTAAATCCAGAATGGCTCTAGGTTTAGAGCTAGTCCATGCTCTTAACCAATATGATTTTCTTTCTTCCTTTGAAGAAAGTGAACCTACTTTATAACCCTGCATAGAGTTCTGAGTAAGGTAGCCCCAAGCAGATTCATATTGGGTGCCAGTCAAATGTCTATTATTTTCACACCTTCACTTTTAAAGTTCAGCTTCAAGAAACCATAACCACCTGTAGTTTTGTATTTTCAGGAAGAGATTTCCAACAGTCTCTCTAAACACTCAGGTTATATAAGTTATTTTGATCTGTTCATGTTTTTCTGACGCAGAGATAACCCTGGGGTTTGGGATTTCAAACTTGGGCTTCAAAAAATAACTTTAGCTCGCTTCTTGTTTTTGAAACAGATGAAGTGATTGAGAAGAAACAGTGAACATCCTCCTTTTACAGATAAGACAACATGGATCAGCCTTTTACTGTGAATTCTCTGGTAGGTCACACCAGCTGATATTTAACGTTTGGTTGAAAAGCCCAAAAAGAAGAACAGAAACATACAAATGTGAAATGAGTCACAACTACTTTAAGAAGTTTAGCACTTGTAGTTTTTCATCCATCTGTGTGGTTGTCTCCTTTGAGGAAGTGACTAATAAAGCTATCTTTGTAAGACTTAAAAATAAATTTTATTTTCTACAAAAGTCTAAAATTTTAGTTTATCTGGATAGATTCCAGGAGTGGAGTCCTTTGGCAAAACCCTGGAGAGAAGAATGTCAGAGTTGATATCCAAGGAGCTACTTAAAGCTCTTAGTGCCTCAGCTTCTTTATAGATAAAAATTGGAGACTCACTTTGTATGGTGACAACTGAGAAAAACATACATAACACCTAGGTGTTGCTTTGGAGCCTTGTGTAAATGTCTTTGTACTTGAAGCTCCTGTGCTTCTCACTTTTCCCCTCACTGCCCGGCACTGTGCACACTTTCTCTAGCTATATCACATGGGCTTATCCTGTGTCCTAGATCAGTCTGTGAGTGTGAATGTAGACACATTATATAATCTCCATGGCCCTGATTTCATACTTTGTGCCCAGTGACAATTGGAAACAATATTTTTGATGCTTCTAGCCTATCATGATGGTACAATAAATAGAAACTGTCATTCCCATTTTCCTCCACCTGATGACCCTCCCCAACCACTCATGGTGACTTGTAGGAGTAGGCCTATGAGCTGCAGTATACCAAATACCCTATATGCACAAAACTGAGCACCAGGACATAGGGAAAGGGAGATCCTGGTTCTTGTACTGAAATAGATTGTGACTTCATGTTTTTTCTTTACCAAGAAAGTCCTTCACAGAGCTTAGTTGTTTTCAGAGTATGTTTGGAAAGTGGACAATTGCAGAAACATTTTCACTTTCTGTCCCCATGTTGTTGTTCCACTACGGTTGATGAAGGCTGACCCATTTCCACCTCTGCAGAGCAAACAGTCATCCTTATGAGATGTCTTCTGTGTTTTTCTAGAACATTATATAACAATAATTAAAATTTTATTGTATATGTCACTGTAAAAATGAACACAAAGGCTTTTTATCTGGAAAATTTGTGTTTTCATCCAAGAAGCTTGCATGCAAATGAAATATTATAGATTGATTAAGACTTTAGGTTATTTTCCAGCTTATCTTTGAAATCAATTTTAAATTTGGGAAAGATAGGACCATTCAGAAGAGGAAAATCAATCTAATTTTAATTTTCAGGAAAAAAACCTAATTATAATCTCTTGTTGCTTCCTTTTTTCTCTTTCTCACTCCTTTCTCTCTTTTATTTGATGTACTCATTAATTATCACCTATGTGGCAGGGGATATGCTACATTCTAGGAAACAGAGATAAACGGAAAATTATACCTTTTAAAACTCCAAAAAGTTCATAAGGGATTGGACATACTTGTACAGAAATAATAATAATATATTTTACTGTATATTTTATATATAGTATATATTTACTGTATATTTTAATATATTTTACTATATATTAGTAAAATATGAACACATTACTTTTATACATGTGAGAGGATAGAACCCCCTTTAGAAAACATTATGATTTTCATAGATATTTTTAGTCATTTTCTGATGTCATTGAAGCAATTATCTGTGGTCAAATAACAATATTTTCATTTGGTGCTACTGAGTTCTACAGATGAGTGTGGTTAGGGAAAAGTGGATGGATTGCTGTAGGATTTGAGACATCTCAGTTGGAAAAGACTATATACTGAAGCCTGAGGCTCAAAGTTCAGAAACTCCAATTTCTGTCTCTGAAATGGGGAAGCCGCATAATAAAACATACATGGGACATGGCATACTTCTTACTTAATGGAGCCTTGAGAAACAAGTTTATGGCACTCTGGTTATATATTAAACCTTTAGGACCAAGAATCATTTCAGATCTCTGGGGTTCTTTTGGCTATAAAAATACCAGCAAAGTAGACCAGATGGCACTGGAAGAACTCCAGACATCTAATTCACTATACTTTGCCCCTGAAGGTTGGCTCAGCAATCCATGGCCAGACTAAAAGTATGCCTACCTTGACTCTTTAGTAGCTTTCTACAGACCTCAATTAGGTGCTCCACCCACACAGTAGTCAGACTTGCAGCCTACCCTTAACTGACCAAGGAGACCTTGAGAAGCTAAATTTGCTCTAGGCTAACTCTATTCTGGAAGCATCCAGCAATGGTAGAAGTGGTTGATCTAAAGCTGTGCTTCTCAGGCGGTGCATACCTAAGTACCTCTGGAAAGACAGATTAAAACATTGATTCTCCAGCCTAACTCCAGAGATCTTGACTGTTGGTCTGAGGAGAGACCTATTGGAATTGGCATTTTTAAGAAATTCCCAGTTGATGCTGATGCTGCCAGTCCATGGACCATGCTTTGAAACATGCTGATCTAAAGCAGGGGTCAGCAAACTGTTGTCTCATGGCCAAACCACCTGCTTGTTTTTATAAATAAAAATTTGGGGGACACAGCCAGAGTCATTTTTTCCATATTATTTATGGTGGCTTTCATGCTGAGAGCTGAATTCAGGTTGCAATGGAAACCATATGGCTGGCAAAGCCTAAGATACTGGCTATCTGGCACTTAACAGAGAAAATTTCCTTTCTGAAGTGCTTTTTATTGAATAATTATTCTGAATTATATATGTTCTATGCTTTACCAAATGTGTATAGATGCTGTTTTTATTAATACAATTCAAATTACTGTTACTGACATTTCTTAGTAACATATCATTATTTTCTTAGTTGAGGACTAATTTAACAGTGTAATTACTATTATGTGGAAGTCTGAGAGTCTTTTTCTATTTAAAAAAAATGGGAGGGGTGGCTGGGCATGTGGCTCACACCTGTAATCCCAGCACTTTGGGAGGCCAAGGCGGGTGGATCACCTGAGGTTGGGAGTTCAAACTAGCCTGACCAAAATGGAGAAACTCCATCTCTATTAAAGATACAAAATTAGCCGGGCGTGGTGTCACATGCCTGTAATCTCAGCTACTTGGGAGGCTAAGGCAGGAGAATCACTTGAAACCAGGAGGCAGAGTTTGTGGTGAGCCAAGATTGCACCATTGCACTCTAGCCTGGGCAACAAGAGCAAAACTCTGTCTTAAAAAAAAAAGCAAAAGGAGAGGGATTCTTATGCTTGAAAAGGCTTCTCCAGGATTTATTTGTGGGGTTTTTTTTTCACTTAATGAAGATGCAGCGAGGCCCTAAAAACTTCTTACTAAACACTTATTCTGGAATATAACTGAATCTTTATAGTAACTTGAATCCAAGTTACCTCCTTGGAGACCCTGACATAAACCCTACCATGGCAGGAATTTATTTCATGACCTGCTTCACATGATCCCAGATAGAAACGTGCACAGGGATATGAAGAGCAATCGTGTTTTACCTAAAATGACCTGAAACATTTGCATACCCTGGAACTTCCACATAATTGTACCCTGAAACCTAAGGTGGGATCCCACTCCAGTAGCACTGTGTGTTTACCCTGGATGTTTGTCTTTTTGTTGTACAGTCCATGTGTTTAAGCAAAGATACTTTACTTTGACCATATCATTAATTCTTATGGAAAGATTGCCTTAGGTAATGGTGTTAGGTTCCTCATAAAGAAAATACATCCCTAACATTAGTCATATCCTTTTCTTACTATAATCAGCGATTAATCAGAGATTTAAATTTTGCTTTGCAGAGAAAGTTAGCTGCTATGCCTGACCATACGGATGTTTCCCTGAGCCCAGAAGAGCGAGTCCGTGCCCTAAGCAAGCTTGGTTGTAATATCACCATCAGTGAAGACATCACTCCACGACGCTACTTTAGGTCTGGAGTAGAGATGGAGAGGATGGCGTCTGTGTATTTGGAAGAAGGAAATTTGGAAAATGCCTTTGTTCTTTATAATAAATTTATAACGTAAGTGTTTTAAAGGCCTCTAAAGTGAGAAAATTGGAAAAAATATTTACATACTTTGATGTGGCAGTTTGGGTATCAGTCATGTTTTCATATTTAGACCAATTGCACAGTCTCTAGGAATGTTACATGTTCTGGTTTTTAAATTACCAAATAATGTACTCACGGGCATCCCAACATCATCTCTGAGGCTTAGGGTCAGGGAGGGCATGAGGCTCAGGGTTATCTGATTTCTTCTCCAAGGCCAGTACAGTAATCTATTTAATACATGTTTCATTCTTCATAAATGTAATTTCTTTTTTCGTGCCATTTTCCCTGACAGAAATTGAAACTTTATGAGAGCAAGAACTATATAGTGCAGCTCCATTTACAGCACCTGGAACATGCTATCAACATTTTAAAAGGTTGATTTGGTGGGTTGTGTCTAGGGGGCAAGTTGGGAGATACAGGAAAGATCTGATCCAGGTGCAGGGATATGGTGCCATGGTCAGTTTCACATAGCATTTATGATTTCTTTTTAAAAAAAATTTTATTTGGCTACGTAAGAACACCACGTACAAAAGAGCTTTGAAAATTGTTGATTAAAAGTGGCTACATCAAAACAGCCTTGTCAAAATATCATATTTCTTACTAGATATTTGTTAGTGACATATCCTAGTTGAAGAGTTAACAGAAATGGGATTTGGATTTTCCTTACTAAATTGATAACTTACTGGTTGAAAGGCTGTGCTGTTATCAATAATTGTATAATCTAAGCTGAACCCTCTATTTTTTATTTCAATTGGAAGTCACACATTGATTACTTTTGCTAGCTTATTATTTGTTAATTTTACTTAAATTGACAAATGAAAATTATATATATTTATGGTATGCAACATGTTTTGATACGTGTATGCATATATTATAGAATGACTAAATCAAGCCAATTAACATATTTATTACCTCATAGACCTTTTTTTGAGATAGGGTCTCACTCTGTTGCATAATCATAGCTCACGGCAGCCTTGACCTCCCAGGTTCAAATGATCTTCCCACCTCAGCTTCCCGAGTAGCTGGGACTATAGGCATGTGTCACCATGCTCAGCTAATTTTTTATTTTTGTAGAGATGGCATCTTACTATGTTGCCCAGGCTGATCTCCAGCTCCTGAATATAATGGATCCTCCTGCTTTGGCCTCACAAAGTCCTGAGATTACAGGCATGAGCTACTGTGCCAGGCCAAACTGCATAATTATGCAATACATTGTTATTAACTACCTCCTGAACTTATTCCTCCTGTCTAACTGAAATTTTATGTCCTTGACCAACATCTCACTCCCTATCCTTACCCGCTGGAACCCTAATAGCCACTCTCTGCTTCTATGAATTCAACTATTTTAGATTCCTTCCACATTATAAGTGTGATTATGCAGTATTTGTGTTTCTGTGCCTGGATTATTTCACATACAATTTCACTAGCTTAGTCAGGGGCCTAGTCTGAGAACATTTAAGAAGTTGAAAAAATACAATATTTTAAAAACTGCATTCCATGATTCTACCAAGGGCAAAATTAAAGGCAGGTTACATGGTATACAAATTGACATCTGCATTTTATTCAAGTTACTGAACTTGAAAATTTAGAGAATGGTTGGCAACCTTCACCCTACCTGAGAAAATCACTTCTTTTTGGAAAGTTAAGTAATAAATATGAAATTAGAGGTTATTCTCCACCATTGATAGCTAAACTTCTCTAAGAATTTTTGTTTCTGAATAAGTTACAATTAATAATTTTTTTTACCTTCTACTCTGATTTTTCATATTTTACTATGGAATTGTAGTCCTGGTGAAACAGAAAAGGTCCCTATATCTCAGAATTACTGTGTAATCAAAATACTTGAATGCTCTTTTGTTATTAGTGATGTGATAATTTATAATTCATTTATTCTTCCTGAGCCTTAGTTCCTTATCTACAAATGAAAGATTTATGGGAGAAAATCTCTGATGTCCCCTCAGCTCCAAATATCTTTGAATTTATTCTATTTATAAAGTCTTAGGTAGCTAACAACTTTTAAAGCCTCCTTAAGCCTTAATTTTCTCATTTAAAAATGGGAATTATGCTAACATTTCTGTGTATTCTATAGCCTTGTCATCAGGTGAGATGAAATGATGAGTATATGTGTGCGTGAATTGATTTACAGAATCAGTAAGTATAAGATATAACATATTAGCTGATCAGAAATAGCATTTTCAGATCATTATGATTTATCAAGGAAGGGTTATTCATTCATTTTGCAAATATTTATTGAGCACTTATGAGCTGGATGCTATTCTTCAGGCTGAGGATACTTCGGTGCATAAAAAAGAGAATTCCCTGCCCTTGTGGTAGCAGTTTCTTCACTTTACCTGGAAGCGATACACCTGATTTGCTGTAGGAATTTCCCTTCACTGCTGCTATGTTGTTCCCCAAAAGGGATGAAAAGTAATGAACTCCTAATTAGCACCTCCTAGGGATTCCGGTTGTCATTTCTTTTAGTTATGGGTTTTCTGTTAAGAGTTTTTTGATACATACACGATGACACTGCTGATTCATCAGTGGTTCTTTTAGTTTTTTCCAAGAACAAGAAGGGATTTACATGACTCTTTTCATGCTCTGATGTTTTTATGTGATCCTCTCTGTTGCTGGCAGTGCAAAAAAGTAAGTTGTGCTCTTATGGGGTTAAGTCTGCAGGGCCTGAGAAAGATCGAAGTGACTTGATTTGTTTAGAGAGTACCCTGACCTTAACCTTGTTAACTTTGCTGCTTAGTTTGTTGAGTTAAACCCTTAATACCAAAATAATACTCATGCCAGCCTTAGGGAAAAGGCAGATGGAAAGACTATAAGTAAATGAATAAGTTATTAAACATGTCATTTTTGAAAAAGGATGCTCATTCCCTATTAGAAACCACTATTGAGCTTTTGCTGTCATATAATGCTAAGGACATGTTTTCTCTTTTCTTAGCTTGTTTGTAGAAAAGCTTCCCAACCATCGAGATTACCAGCAATGTGCAGTACCTGAAAAGCAGGATATTATGAAGGTATTGTGGGTTTGCTTCTCCACTGTGGGATCAAATGCTCTATAAGTATCCATTATTGATTCACTCTTCCCCTTCCTCTCCTTTCTCTTTCTCTTGAGAGTTTGAGCACAAAAAATTGATTCCATTAACAATGATGTTTTGATTTTTTTCTTAGACATTTAATGATCATTACTGAGCCCATGTGGTTTGTCTAATTGATGCTGGCAGAACAGAAAGAAAGAAAATATTACCTTATGGTGTGAACAAGGAATTATTTTACAGTTCCTCCCAGAGATTAAGAGAATGTTGTACATTTCTTCAAATTTCTTTCAGACAATCATTTTGGCTGGTTTTAATTATTTTATACAGCCCTGAACTCAATAACTATTTGAAAATTAGTGTTAGTTGTTAAGGCAGCCACAAAGTTCTAGCTATTTACATCTTATAGGATTGGGCTATAACAAAATGCTTACCTAATCAGTAGAGCCAATAAAGGTCTTACAAAAGGGATAATAGTTTCTTTCCTGCTGGAATGTTATATTTTGAACCCATCAAGAGATTTTGTCTGCCATCATTGGTTACTCATGACTATTTGTAATACACCTATCAGCTGTTTTTCTTTCTCACCTGATGATCTGAAAGAATATATTGAAAATCCCACTAATCAATATATGTATATATTTTTAAAAGAAACTGAAGGAGATTGCATTCCCAAGGACAGATGAATTGAAAAACGACCTTTTAAAGAAATATAACATAGAATACCAAGAATATTTGCAAAGCAAAGTAAGTTCAGTTGGTAAATTTATTTCATGACTATTTTATGTACAAGTATTTTTTGAATTTTATTTTTATGTGATGAGTTTTTCAAATGTTATGTGCATTTAAATTAAAAATTAAAGATGCAGTGATGTGAAACCAATAAAAAATTTATGCTGATATCCAGGTTAAGCAGTTACACCAACAGTGTGGTATTTCTGTTTCCCTGCAACATCCAATAAAGCAATGTGTTAAAAAACAGATTTCCTACAGTGATTTTAGTAGAACTTTTTGATCAACGTTTGATTATATTTGCCAGTGTAACCTTGAGCCAGATGGCTGCTCGTTGCCAGATGAACAGCCAGTAGGAGGTAGGGAGAGCAGTATATGGTTTTTGATGACTCTAATTATGTAGGCCTTAGAAATGTGAATTTGATTCTTAAAATGTTACAGTGAGTATTGAGTGAGATGGAATAATAGCTAACCATGTGGTTGAAATGTAATTGTATCAGCCAAAAGTGGTGGCTTCTGGGTTGTTATTAATAAAGAATGAACATGACGATAATGTCTGAGAGGCAGAAAGGCATTGGAAGAAGAAATTGGCCAGTCAGTGTATAGGATACTCACATTCAACATAGCATCATTGTAAGTGCTATTTTGCTTTTTTGTTTGTGTTTTATTAGCTTTGGAGGTTATCACCTTCACTGACTCTCACTTCAGTTCAATCTCATCAGCTCTGAAAATGGTCATTGAGCTTTTTGGCTTTCTACAGGCATAACTGGAAGGCTGATTTGAGTGATGAGCTTTAACCAAGCGATAGAGGGAATGTTGAAATTGAGTGTCCCTCAAGTGTGCACATTAATGACTTGAAATATGAAAGATAGAAATGATCCTGAAGGGTAAGACAAAGCAACAGCAAGGGAGACAAAAGCCCAGTTCAAGTCTCTTTTCCACAGACAGCAATGTGTATGATCTTCCTCTTCAGAATCTTCCTGGGAGGAACAGGCTCTGCAGCTGTTTCATGTTCTGCCTTTTATACCTGTCACTTCACAGCCTACAGTAGTATCTCATGTAGAAATCTCTGTGGGGTTAGAATAGCAGCACTAAGCCTAGGAGAGATCCACAGATATGCCTGTGAGCCCTTGCTTCAGCCAGAATTAGCATCATTTGGAAGCTTGTTAGACATGCAGAATCTCAGGCTCCACCCCAGACCTGCTGAATCAGGATTTGCAACTGTAGTTAGACCCAGGGTGATTTGTATGCACCTGAATGTGCCGCTATAAGTTGTGTCCCACATGCTAATGCCACCTTACGGTAGCTCCCAAATCTAGTTTCTATCAAAATCACCTGGAAGGCTCATTAATATTTCATGTTATCTGACCTCATAAGCCTGGATATTTTGTCAGGACTGGAGAGCTTGGGACTCCTCATTTTTAATAAAACTCTTGATTAGTGGTGATAGAGATGGTTGGAACACATTTTAATAATTGTTTTTTTTAGTGACTCCTTCTTATCCATAAATCTCCGGTAGCGTATGAGTTCTAGAGTCAAATGCAAAAGGTTCTAGGACAGCACCATTAAATAGAACTCCCTGTGATGATGGAAGTGTTCTATTTGACACTTTCTAATATGGTACCCACTAGCCACATGTGGCTACTGGGTACTTAAATGTGACTAGTGTGCCTGAGGTACTAAATGTTGGCTAATTAATTCTAATTTTGTTTAATTTTAATCAAGTCCAAATAATGACATGTGGCTAGTGGCCTCTATATTGGAAGCATAGTAAGGGTGAGATATTTTGTTTCATATGGTCTTGTCAGTCTGACTGAGCAAACAACCTTGACCTTGATTTTCCACTATTTAGAAGCATAAGGGAATGGAGGGATCCTGATTGTCATGGCCTATCATCTCTGGTAAAATATCAGTGGATTTAGAACTACTATCTTAATCAGATCAAGGGGCTTTTGCCCTGGTCTTATGTATATTTCTCTCACTGTTCCCTGAGTGTCCCGGTGGGCATACAGCAGTATCTAGCCTTTTCTCTGTCTGCTTGAAGACTGAAAACATCTAATTTCAGTTCAATGTTTTTGCCTTGGAAACTAACCTTCTCTGGCTGCCACATTTTTCAGAACAAATATAAAGCTGAAATTCTCAAAAAACTGGAGCATCAGAGATTGATAGAGGCAGAAAGGAAGCGGATTGCTCAGATGCGCCAGCAGCAGCTAGAATCTGAGCAGTTTCTGTTTTTTGAAGATCAACTCAAGAAGCAAGAATTAGCCCGAGGTCAGATGCGAAGTCAGGAAACCTCGGGGCTGTCGGAGCAGATTGATGGGAGTGCTTTGTCCTGCTTTTCCACGCACCAGAACAATTCCTTGCTGAATGTATTTGCAGATCAACCTAATAAAAGTGATGCAACCAATTATGCTAGCCACTCTCCTCCTATAAACAGGGCCTTAACGCCGGCTGCTACTCTAAGTGCTGTTCAGAGTAAGTGATGAAGTGCACCCCTGTGGGACATTGAGGCTCATTGGATGGAATCATATTTCTAGAGCATCTGGGAGGGTCCTCCTTGTTTCATTAATTGTAGTAGGACCCCTACAGAATATGGTGTGAATAACAGAAGTAACTTTCAATACTCTCTTTTACTATATATTACTATAAAATTCTAACCTTTACTATATATCACTTAAAATTCAGAAAATATGATTTGCCCCCAATAGAGCAGAGACTCTATAATAAATGGGAAGTATTTTATCATTGAACAGAGGCTTTAAATGAGAAAAATCTTAAGTATTTTTGTCTTCCATGTATTTTAATTAAGAAATACATCTTAAAGGTAAACACTTATACTGGAGAGAAAAGATGTTGAGAAAATTGTTTATCCAGACCATTGCTCAGCAGTAAAATGTTTATATTCAGTATGTTTAGCATCCTCCTTGGACTGAGAGAATCTCATACACATAGATAATTAACCTCCAAATAGACTGTGTGTTTCTGAAAGAATTAGTGCTACTCAGTACTGCCAGATCAGTGCTGGCAAGTTTCCAAAATACAGACTTCTTCCTCGCAGACACTGTCAGATGAAATTTGTGTTTCCATTTATTTGAAATGAGTTATAACAGGCAATCACTTTAAAACTTACTTTACTGCTAATTGTTTCCCAAAACGTTGTGCTTTTACTTACTGATCACCAACTTTCATAAAGATATATGTAACATGGTAAACAGGATATTTGTCCTATGTCTTATAGGATATAAAATGCATTCTATGCAGCCTATGCATTTAACCTTATATTTGCTTCATGCCTAAAGATAACATAACATGTAAATAGCTGACCCAGGGTACAAACATGTAAAAGTGCTTGTACCTTCTCACTTTCCTTATAAAATAATTTACATACACAATGTAATTTTACTTCTAAGAGTTTTAAAATAAAATGTGGAAAGTGGAACACCTGAAACTTTTATTTTTGAAATGTATGTCCACCTGCAACTGCTTGCCAATAACAATTTTGAAAGATGGAACATACAGTTTGTTTTCTAGCCTTTTCTTCCTTTTTTGTTTCTTAGATTTAGTGGTTGAAGGACTGCGATGTGTAGTTTTGCCAAAAGATCTTTGCCACAAATTTCTGCAGCTGGCAGAATCTAATACAGTAAGAGGAATAGAAACCTGTGGAATACTCTGTGGAAAACTGGTATGATCTTTGTATATGTATATATATCTCTGCACAGGATACTTTTAATAGTACTAGCTTTCTTCCCACAAATGGAACAGAATAAAAACATGCTGAGAGTAAACAATATTATGAAATTAACTTTATACAGATTAATTTTATAAAGCTACTGTCATTATTGATGGAATAACCCTTCTATAAAATAGATTGTAAAATTTAAGAGACACTATAAAAACTTGCCCTGAAGAATCAATTAAACTATAAATTAAATCTTCAATTAGAAAAATGGAATACAGGTCTTCAGATTTCCAAATCCATCTGATTTACCAAATCAAATTTTCATTGCAATTGTTAGTTTCACATACATTCATATAATTAACTTTATCTGTGGCATGTGTCATCTTGCTATCCTTTTTCAGATATACATGGAATAAAACTAGGGTTTTGTTGTTTTCTTTAGTTTAAGGCAGTATCTTCAACAAAATAAAGTCTACTGTATGCACAGGACATATTTAATTATGGAAGATGTCATCATAAGTATGTGATGAAAGACAATGTCATAATAGAAGGAGATGAAAGAGGAGATGCATTCAATTTCCTATCTACAACAAAGATACATAATGTTTCTTTGGATGTGTCCTTTCATAGTCTGTTTTGAGTATCAGTTTATATATCTGGGTCCAGGAATATTTTCAGTCCTCCAAATTTAGCTTAGGAACCTCTGCTTTATTGAATAATATGTTTTATTCACTACACAATCTCCTGCTGCACTCCATGTTTTGTCATCATTTTCCCTTCGAGAGAGGAAGCCATTGGTGGCAAGCACAGGAGAATGGGCATCTACAGTCACCTCTGTTGCACTTAAGGGAGCAGTGTGCTATTGAAGCATCCACCCCCACATTATGTGTTGTATTCAGATTAATTGATTCATTCACGTATGATTCATTCACTCCGCTGTCAGACAAACATTTACCGAATGTCTAAATGTGCCAGGCACTGTGCTGGGTGTTGGCATTCGGTGCCCTGCAACAGCCACAGTCCCTTCCTCATGATGCTTACCATGCTGTGAAGACCCAGACAGAGGACTAATTATAAGTAGGGCTGAGTGCTGTCTGTGCAAGTGCAGGGCATCATGGGATTGTGTAACTGGGAAATACAACTTTGTTTGAGGGGTCCGGAAGGGTTTCCCTGAGAAGTGATATTTGAGCTAGGCCTAAAGAATACATAAAGGAGGCGGTTGGATGGAGGGAAGAGTTGAAATCAGGGTGAAGGAACAGTGCATTGTGTAGGGCAAAGCCCTAAGGCCAGAGAGAGGATGGTGCTGTGTAGGGGAGAAAGGCCAGTCTGCCTGGGGGAAGGAAGACAGCCTCTCACTGCACAAACATCTCACCCTGAGGATCCCCGGGCACTTCACAGCCCTCTTCCTCTCAACTCTTATCTTTTGCCTAAAGGGGTAATTTGTTTTTTTTCTTTCCTTTATCTGATTGCAAATCCAAAACATTATCTTAATTACAGAAGATCCTAGTGAGTCCTCCCAATATTCAAAGAATGTCTTATGGCTTAAAGTGACATTAAATGTAATTAGTAAAATAAAAACAAAATCATCAACTTTCACAACCCTAAGAAATGCCCTTTGGGAACACCACAAAATTATTTAGCTAGTATCTCCCCATCCAAATAAACCTGCCCTTGTTTTGTTCTAGTTTTTTCATTATAAGATATATCAGGGGAGAAGGAAAGAAAAGCACACTGCCATGTGTGTTCCTACGCAACTGTCTTACATGCTCTGCTCATGTACCCCAAAACCTAAAATCCAATAAAAAATTTAAAAAAAAAAGATATATCAAGAAATCATTTATTAAAACTTCCACAGACCAGCCTGGAATGGGAGTTCTTATTTATGTTATGTTTTCTATTGTGAAAGTGAGTTTCAAGCTACGAACAACTGACTCTCAAACTTTTGGCAAAGAATCCATTTTTACTGTTGGGACTTTGTTTTTGAATTGGGAAGGGGTGTGTGTGTCCAGGTACAGGGAGGGATGATGTAAGTGGTTCCTGTACCTGGACACAACCCCCTACTGGAGGACTCTCTAGTCTTAAACATTGCACTTCCTGTTCAGTTATTATTATTATTTTTTTGTCAGATGCATATCATTCTTTCTGCTACTTGCTTTTTAGACACATAATGAATTTACTATTACCCATGTAATTGTGCCAAAGCAGTCTGCGGGACCAGACTATTGTGACATGGAGAATGTGGAGGAATTATTCAATGTTCAGGATCAACATGACCTCCTCACTCTAGGATGGATCCATGTATGTTTGACCTTTTGGGTTTCAGTTTATTTTTGTATGGCGTGCTCTTTTCTTCCTTGAAAAAGTTTAGCTTCATTTAAATAGCTTCTTCTTTTTAATATTTTCAAATGTAATAAAGGTTGTCTTTTAAGTAGTGGTTCTCAAACAAAGAGAAAAGAATAACAGATATTAGAAAAAAATAAAGGTCAGCATATTATAGCATGTTTTTCAGTGTTAGACCGTGTCTAAATCTGTCAAATCTGGATTTGGAGAATGTATATCTTATGCTTTTTTGTATCGTCCAAAGTTAAAAGATATAGAGAGAAAGAAAGAGTAACATTTGGAAATCAGGTTTGTTTTTTTTTAGATGATTTTACATAGCCTAGTGAAGGCTTAGCCAGATTGTTAACCAATTTCATTAGACAACTATTAATGTGGGTCTAAATTAGATTATTTTGAAAATGTTTATTTTAAACATGTATTAGTATATATCAGTTACACTCCCTGAACCCTCTCTGATAGGCAAAGGATGTATGGATCACTGTATAAACAGCTATAGAATAAAGCAAGAGGATAGGGCTCAAAACACTGAATTCCAACGTCCACCAGGCTGTCATGGGAACAGGAAATGGCTTACAAATCAAATAGCATGACGTTAAATCTTGACTCTACTAATAATTCTCTATAGGAGTACTGGCAAGTTATTAAGCAATCTGCATCAATTTTGTCCATAAAGTAGAGATCATAATAATTGACTTCACAGAATGTTTCATATTAAATGAGATACTATTGGTGAATTTTATAGCACATATTTTGAGGGACTCTGAAAATTGTAGCTGTTATAATTGGTGATTATAATCTCTACTTTCTAGCCATAGTTCAATCCATCTGGGGAAAACTTTTTCCATTCAGTCTCACATAGCTGGATCTAGGATAATGTCTTAGTGTGTTTTTGCTGCTATAATAAAATGCCTGATAAGGGTAATTTAGAAAGAATAGAAATTTGTTTTGTCTGGTTCTGGAAACTGGAAAGTCCAAGATCAAGGCACCAGCATTGGTGTCTAGTGAAGGCTGCTCTCAGCCATGAGCAGCCTTCAGTAGACACCAACGGCACCTTGTTGCTGTATTCTCACAAGGTGGAAGGCAGAAGGGCAATAGAGCACGCCTTCAACCTTGAGCCCTTTCACAAGTGCCTGAATACCATGCATTAGGGAGGAGCACTCATGATTTAATCACCTCCCAAAGCCCACACTTCTCAATACAGTTGCATTGAGGATTAAGTTTCATCATGAATACTGGTGGAGACCCCACCATTCAAACCATAGGAGGTAGGGATAAGTCATCCCACTGAGATGGGATACCGGCCAAGAAAATTTCCAGAACACATTCTTGAAGGAATGATACATAGTCATTTTATATTTTACTTGCTTTATAGAGGAGCACTCCTCAGTGCTAAACACACACACACACACACACACACACACACACACACTTACACTTGCTAAGCATTTGGTATTATGCAATTCCCGAGGGTATAGAAGACTTTAGTCCCAACACCACCTGTAAATTACTATATGCTATCAGTCAGGACTTCTAACCTAATTTCCAGATTCCTTTATTAACTGAGTGAAGCTAATGAACACCTTCTCTCCTCACTGAATTTTTGTGAACAGGGAATAAGATACCAGGTGTGAAAACTCTTTGAAAAGTATAAACTGCCTCTCAAATGCAAGAAATTATTTATGATGAAGAGTTTGCAAAACTCTTAATATGTCTATTTGCTTTTCTTAACAGTAAGTAATATGCATTATGGTTTGCCTGGACATTGCTATATTATTTAGCTTAATATGATTCTGTAACAAGAATGAATTTTAAAGCAAAACAAATTCTAGCAAGAATGACAGTCTATTAAATTATGCATTTACATTGATAAGTCAATGTTAGTTTATCTAACAAAACATTTCCCAAACTAGAAACAAAAGTTTTCCCCATGACCTTCTATGGACATAATGCATGCAGTTATGAAGGTAAGTTATTTAATAAGTTTAGCATAATTCTGGAATTCTGAGACTTCTTGTTAAACTTATTTCACTGAATCAAATTATTGTAGTTGGATGAAAATAGAAAAATATTACATTTCTAAACCGCAGTGATTATAATGACTTTTTATAATGGTTTTTATTAAGCATAATAACAAATTCCAGAGCTGACTTTTTCAAAAACAAATTAGTCATAGGAAAAAATGTCTGAAACATAATCAGACAGACCTGCATTTGAATTTAGACTTTTTGTTTTAACTAGCTTTATGAACATCAGCATGTAAGTCACCTTTTCTGCTTACCTCAGTTTCCTCATCTGTAAAATTTGGATAATAATAGACCTTATCTGGTTGCTGTGAGAATTCACTGATATGACTCATGGAAAGTTAATTCACATTATTCAGTTGCAATAAATGGCATCTGCTTCCACTGTTACCATCATCATCATCAGTTTCCATAGAGTGAGGGAATGGGAGCATTATTCTTTCATGGGAAAACTGTCCTCATTGGAGTAGACATAATTCCTTTTGGCAGAAATGAAGGACTCAGGTCATGTGGTGTGCATTCCATGTGGAAATAAATTGACAAGCAGAGTGATTTGTCTGTTTGTTAACCTGCTTGCTCTCTCCACAGCACTATAGTTTCTTTGAACAATTTTTAATTTCTCACCAAGACATAGAAGGCTCTATATTACAAAGAGAAGGTATTCCTTGTAAGATAACAGGCTGTCAGATACTCCCACTCAAACCCCTACTAAGATTTGCATTTTAAAAATTATAATAATTTCCATTCCTTTGTTGATATAAGTTGTTATAGACAAAGTGTTATTTTTTCCTTGCAGAGTATGTATCTTTCTATAAATAATCAGCTGATTTTACATTCATTCTATTAAAGCAGAAAAAATGTTTTCTTGCCTTTTTTTTTTTCTTTTCAAGACAGGGTCTTGCTCTGTTGTCCAGGCTGAAGTGCAGTAGAGTGATCACAGCTCACTGCAGCCTTGACCTCCCTGGCTCAAGTGCTCCTCTCACCTCAGTCCCCTCAAGTAGATGAGACTACAGGCACTTGCCACCATCCCTGGCTAATTTTTTTTTTTTTTTTTTTTTGTAGAGATGGAGTCTACCTATATTGTCCAGCCTGGTCTTCAACTCTTGGGCTTAACTTATCCTCTTGCCTTGGCCTCCCAAAGCGTTGAGATTACAGGCGTGAGCCACTATGCCTGGCCTAAAAAAAGTTTTAAAATCTTACATTTCTTTAACAGAATATAGTTTTGTGTAAAGGCATTTAGCTACTATGATGGATCTATGCCTTTACGTTAATAAAGATGACATTGAAATAACAACAGCAATAACAACAGCTAATGACTTTGATTTCTATGGGCTAAGCTCTGTTCCAAGAATTTTAATGGACTGTCTCATTTGATCTTCATAACAATCCCATGAAAAAATATTATCTCAATTTTACAGATGATGAAATGGGCAAGAGAAGGTTAAGAAATCTTTGCAGTGTCATTTAGCTAGTCAGTAATGGAGTCAGGACCTAGACAGTGGTGCCAAAAATCTTTGTTTCATGATTAAAATAGTCCCATTCTTTTTTACTAAGAGCAATTAGGGTTTAAGATGGATTTTTAAAATAACTGTGTGCATTTATTTTTTATGTTCAAATATGAACCTCTGATTGGCCATGCATAAACACGTTTGTATGTAGCCAGAAACTTGGCAGATTTCTTTTAATTTATAATCCCCCTTTCTTTCTCCTCATGTGAGTATTTCGTTGCTGTGCAAGATTAGTCCCAAATACCTTTGGACTAATGGGAGTCTCCCATTCTCCCATTTACAGGAAATGGCAATCCACAAAAGGATACACAGCGACACGTGGTCTATTTAGTGAAAACCTTCTTTTAATGTCCATAGTGTTGTATATAAGTATGTTGTGTCCAGGGTTTCCAGTCACAGCTCTGCTCCTTACCAGCTGTGTAACTATAGGCATGTTAGGTAACCTCCCTTAGTTTTGGGATCCTTGCATGTAAAATTGATATAATAAAATAAGTGTCTAATAAATGAGTTGTGATAATTATATGAGAATCTATTTAAAGCCTCTGGCAAATTAATTTCCAGCTCTTTTTTTCCCCAAAAGGAAGAAAGTACGCTAACACTTCTAGGAGCCTCTTCTCAATGTCGTAGTTATTCCAAAATAGCAAATAATAGGAATGCATAAAGGAAAGGAGTATGTCAGCGAAACCTTTTTTAAAATCCTTATTTGATTAATGATGGTAAAAAAATAAAAAAGCAGATAAATAGAGTTTTCCCTCAAAATAGGCTGTGGCCTTGGCTGAGACTCAGTTATCCTAATAAGATTGTCTTCTTTTCTATTTATAGACACATCCCACCCAAACTGCATTCTTATCCAGCGTTGATCTTCACACTCACTGCTCCTATCAACTCATGTTGCCAGAGGCCATTGCCATTGTTTGCTCCCCAAAGCATAAAGAGTAAGTGTAACTCTTCAGGGGAGCCCAAAGAAGGCTTTGTTCAGGGCTGCTGGGTTCCTGCGTGTCCAGACACCAGGTTTTGGGACTTGGATTAGCAAGCACACAAAGCCCTGGGGAAAAAGAGATGGGTGGCAGCCAGCTGCATAGACCTACAGCTCTGCAGTTTAAAGTCCTGTCAGTGGCAAAATTTCTGGTTTTCTCTCTTCAGTTAGTGTGACCTTGAAGAGAATAACATTTAAGAAGGATGCTATCCCAGTTAGCCTTTTGAGGTCTTACTTCTACTGTATCATGTTCTACCATAAGAAATGTTCTAGCCTTAGCTGAGAAAAAAACTTTCTACTTTTGGGAAGCAATGATTATTGTAGAGTGGTTATGAGCATAGGAATCAAACAAATATATTGGAATCCTGGCTCCACCCCTCAAGTGGTGTGTTAGGCCGGATGCTTGACCACTGTGGGCCTCAGCCTCTTTGTCCCTGCTGCCTGCCCATGAGGGATGGATGTGAAGATGAAATTCATTAATAGTCTATGTACAGTGCTTAGCAGAGTGCCTGGTACCACAGCAGGCACTCAATAAATATTTGCTATTGCTATAACCTGTATTAACATTATTAGAAGAATTAGTAATATCTGCCACTTGTAATTTCCCTCCATGGGACTCTCCATTGGGGCCTTGGCCTTTCTTCTAGGGTCACACACAATAGCTTAGCTGACTTGTCCCCTTCAGGGTCCTGCAGTCTCTTAGGAGCAGCATTGCCTCCTCCTGGGTTTCTCTCCTCTGGGCCAAATCATTGGTTTTTTAAAAAAATCACTATGGAATTCCTAGTTTGTGATTTCTCAATCCCATTTGAGGAATATGTATGCATGTGCTATTCAAATAAAGCATCTGGAATGCCCAAATGATCCTTAATTTTTCTACTTTGTTTTCACTCTGAAATTTAGCACTGGCATCTTCAGGCTTACCAATGCTGGCATGCTTGAGGTTTCTGCTTGTAAAAAAAAGGGCTTTCATCCACACACCAAGGAGCCCCGGCTGTTCAGTGTGAGTACATCAAATCAGTTGTGTTTGCAGATATTTATTGTTCACTGACCCCCAACCTCTTTTTAATGAGAGAAATAGTAGCAGTCTAATATAAGTTAAAACACTATACTGCTTAGTTTGGAGTTTTATCTCAGAGATTAATCTATCTGTATACTTAATCTCTGATTTATTCTCAAAATAATTGTTTTTACAAAAAAAATCAGTATTTCTGTAACAGAATTAATGATGTACAAAGTTGCCTTTCCACTTACATAGATGTATGATATTTAAACCTTTTCTTCAGAGTCCAGTTAAGTAAACAATTATTACAGAAGTTGGTATTTAAAATGTTGCATGAATTCTTTCTGCTTGATGTGGCCAAATCAGTTTTTTCAAAGCAGTTGGATGAAAACTACAGTCATACTCCTTGACTACCTTTGCATAGTCCAAAAGAAGCATAGGACTACACCATTTTTTTTCTTCTAATTTTCTTGGTGATTCTGTGGAACATCAAGAGAACATTATATTGAAGTTAGAATTTACCTGAAATGAAATTGTTTGGCAACCCCTGTAAATATTTTTGTTGTTGTTGAAAATGAATAAATGTGATTGTATTTGTTCTGATTGGAAATAGGAACAATTTAAAATTAGGAAATCTGTACTCCCTCCCTAAAGAAAATCATATGGTAAACATTAATGGTAAACATTATGATAAAATTAAACCTATGGTAAAACCATTTTTTTCTTTCCTAGATATGCAAACATGTGTTGGTAAAAGACATAAAAATAACTGTGTTGGATCTGAGGTGATATGTTCTGAATATAAGCACCATCAACATCAGATACCTACCCATGGACAAGTGGTTGCCGGATTTTCTTAAGATGTTTCCAGAAAAGACTCATATTTTATATTTATATATTTTAGATTAGAAAGCTTGATATTTATTATTGTTGCACATTTTGAAGTTTTTTTTTTTTGGTTGCTCTGTGTCAAGAAAGGTTACATGGTGTTAAATCATTAATGTACCCAACTACTATGACCAGGTAATAAATTGTGCTGCGAACAACATGTCTGGTACTTATAGAGGTCTCTGTATACATTTTTAGAGCTTTAGATGTTTTGCTCTATTTTTTATTCATGTAAAGTGTAATTCCAAATAAGAAATTCTGAGTGTCTGTAGTCTCTAAGGCAGGCCATCTGTTTCTGAAACCTTCCCCTGAGGTACGTGAGTAGTTTCTATGTGTAGATGAAATATAGCTGCCATTGATAAAGCTTGTTCTGTGTTTTCAGTGTCATGAAATCCCAGGCTCAGAGAGATATCTCTGCAGTGAATCACTGTGTAAGATACCAGAACCACAGGCTTCTACTCAGGGATCAGGTGTCAGAGGGCCTGGGATAGCAGACAATTCATTAACTTGATTTAGAAGACTAAAAGTAGAGAAGCTTGAGAGAGGAATTTTTTTTAAAAAAAGGCTCAGATAAAAGTACAAAGCCTTTAACTGTAAAAATGAACAGGGGCGATAAGAAGAAATGAGACATAAGAAATAACTGATAATTCTTAGTCAAAAAGAATAAATAAGAAAATAATTTAGAAAGTTTTGCCATTAAAGGTATCTATATAAAAATTAATACACAGAAATAAGAATCAAATAAGTTTGAAACTGAATAGGGTGTCATAAATATAATGTTTGACTAAGGCTTAGAAGGCATGTGTGGCTGTTACCTAGGTAATAAAAGCATTTACCTGGATAAAAAGAGAAAGATTAAATAGAAAGAATGGGAGACTTGGGTACTCTGTTAGCTTGTTGAATTGGTAGGAAAAACCCGAGGATGAAAAGTATGGAGAAATTTCAGCTGCAGATGTACAGAAGGCCGAATGGAAGTGATATTATTGAGTTCTTTGAGAATAGGTAAATATCCTTCAGGACACTGTAGACTGGTTACTGCAGGTGAAATCTTCATCTTGGGAAATCCTGGGCGGATGGCCCTTTCCTCGATCAAGAAACTTGTGGTCACTTCCTAGTCTCCTTTCTCATCCTTTAGGGCCTTGCCTTACTCTAGTCTAGCTTTCTCCTTTTTTGGTTTCAACGTTTATGTTTCCTTCTCCAGCCATCTCTCCCTGGATCTCCAGGACCTTCCAACAAGGCCAAGCTAATTCTATGTAACCTTCTGTCTTCCCAATGTCTTCTGTGCCAGCCACAGCTCTCCTCCCCTTTGCTTTCCTTCTGACATTGTATCTGACTTGCCTAAACAACTCATGTTTGCATGTACTAGCTCCCACTGCTTAGTTCAGTGATTTCCATATTCCAAAGAGTGGTATTTCCTGTACTCTGTGCTTGGATGGGTTAACATCTGACATGGTATGGTTGTATCCCCACCCAAATCTCATCTTAAATTGTAATAGGAGGGACATGGTGGGAGGTAACTGAAGCATTGGGTGGTTACCTCCATGCTGTTCTCATGATAGCGAGTGAGTTCTCAGATAGCTAATGTTTTTTTTTTTTTTGCATTTTTTTTTCTTTCTTTTTTTGGAGACAGAGTTTCGCTTTTGTTACCCAGGCTGAAGTGCAATGGCGTGATCTCGGCTCACCGCAACCTCCACCTCCTGGGTTTGGGCAAGTCTCCTACCTCAGCCTCCTGAGTAGCTGGGATTACAGGCACGCACCACCACGCCCAGCTAATTTTTTCTATATTTAGAAGAGACAGGGTTTCACCATGTTGACCAGGATGGTCTCCATCTCTTGGCCTTGTGATCCACCTGCCTCGGTCTCCCAAAGTGCTGGGATTACAGACTTGAGCCACCGTGCCCAGCTATCTAATGGTTTTATAAGGGGCTTTTCCCCTTTTGCTCAGCACTTCTTCCTGCCATTATGTGAAGAAGGACATGTGTTTGCTTCCCTTTCTGCCATGATTGTAAGTTTCCTGAAGCCTCCCCCAGCAATTCAGGACTGTGAGTCAATTAAGCCTCATTCCTTTAGAAATTACGCAGTCTTGGGCTGGGTGTGGTGGCTTACGCCTGTAATCCCAGCACTTTGGGAGGCCGAGGCAGGTGGATCACGAGGTCAAGAGATCGAGGCCATCCTGGCCAATATAGTGAAACCCTATCTCTACTATAATATATATATATTATATTATAGTATATATATATAAATTAGCTGGGCATGGTGGTGCACACTTGTAGTCCCAGCTACTCGGGAGGCTGAGACAGGAGAATTGCTTGATCCCAGGAGGCAGAAGTTGCAGTGAGCCAAGATCATGCCACTGCACTCCAGTCTGGCACCTGGCAACAGAGCAAGACCCTGTCTCAAAAAAAAAAAAAAGTTACCCAGTCTCAGAAAGTGCTTTATAGCAGCATGAAAATGGACTAATACAACATCCCTCTCTGCCAGTCTAGTCCTCGATTCTGGTATCATGTCACCTGAATTCTGTTCCTGTTCTTATTTATACAGAACCACCTACTAAGGGCAGGTCAGTGGCTTGTTTGTTTTATGGCATCTTCTAGCTGTGGAGAGCTTAGGTTTTAGACTTCAGCAGCAGAGCTTGGCTTCCCTTGTACATGGAGACTTTAGTCTATGGCCACCACCAGCTAAGGGCAGATTAACTCTGCAAGCCTGGCTCTACAGATGACTCACTCTTGAGTGGTGCTGTCCTCAGTGTCTTCGCATGTAAACACACCATGGTATTCTGATATTATTGATCAAAGGAAAAGATTATATACTTTGTTTAAGTAAAAATAATTGTTGGAGCAATGGATAGTTGAGAAATGAGTGAGATCCTCTGTATATAATTAAAAATATAGTAATACACCAAGAAGATGTAAAATGAGAGCTGTCTAGTGAAAAAACTATGGACATTGAATGGTACCTAGAGATAGGAAGGATCAGTTGAGAGCCAAGAACATTTAGCATGTTAGATATCCAGAAAGAAGGAAAAGAGAAGCTGTTAATGCAAAACCAATTATATTCCTTCTGGACAGCGAATTAGAAGAGAACTCATTTTTCACTAAAAAGGTATATTGTATTTCCCAAATAAGGGCAACATTCTTGGCACTTTCATTTCCTTGCAAAGAGAGGCAAAACCTTGGGCCTGAGGTAAAGTTTGAAAGGTTATTTTTGAAGGGCATGCAGTTCTTCGTTTGGCCAAGTACAAACAAAATTAACCAGACTTCCCAGAAGGATCTCACAGAGTGGAACTGTTGGAGGTAGCAAACCAGGAACCTGACTTTGACTGTCAGAATGAGGCCTTGGGCTGTGTCTGAAAGAAGAACCAACAGAAATGTGACCACATCACTGAGGAATGGACTGGCCACGAGGCAGAGACCATGTTAGCCAACCTGGAGACACCAGTGCATACGCATGTGCATGAGCACCAGTGTTCATGGGATAAGCTATCTGTGGAAGATCTCTTTCACAACAGGCAGACAGCACTTTCCCTTTTTTTTTTTGAGATAAGGTCACACTGTTGCCCAGGCTGGAGTATAGTGCCATGATCATGGCTAACTGCAGCCTTGGTCTCCCAGGCTCAAGCGATCCTCTCACCTCAGCCTCCCAAGTAGCTGAGACTACAGGCACTCACCACCACACATGACTAATTTTTTTTTCTATTTTGTAGAAATGGGATCTTGCTATGTTGCTAGGGCAGGAGATCCTTCTTTTGGATGTTGGTCAGTTCCAGAGCTCCATTTGCCACATCCCAAGGCAAAAATGATTCTTGATTTCTTTCCAGATTTGTGTTTCTATAGAGAAAATGAACCAATTAAGAACTTCTTTTGATTTTCAATGCTAGTCAGTTTGCACACAGTGCCAGACACCTCTTATCTATTTGTTATAGGCTGAATTGTGTCCCTCAGATTCATGTGTTGAGGTCCTTAACCCCCCAGTACCTCAGAACATGACTGAATTTAGAGATAGGGTCTTTACATAGATAATTAAGTTAAATGAGGCTAGTAGAGTGGGCACTAATCCGGTATGACCTGTGTCCTTATAGTTAGAGATTAGGACAGATATACACAGAGGAAGACCATGGGAAAACACAGAGAGGAGACTGCCATCTACAAGCCAAGGAGAGAAATCTCAGAAGAAACCAACACTGCCAACACCTAGATCTCAGACTTCCAGCCTCTGGAACTGTGAGAAAATAAATTTCTGTTGTTTAAGCCATCCGGTCTGTGGTATGGCAGCCCTCACAAACTAATGCAGTACCCAGTAAATATTCACTGAAGTTGTTTGTTATTTTTGGACTGAATTGGAAATGGCTTTGTTGTCATGCAGGGCAGAGATCATTCTTTCCATAAACCTTGTCAGTTGTAGAAGAGCAAAGTAGAATGTTTGTGGATTCTTTTCAGATACTCATTGTTCCGGATGTCTTTTTAGTAGGATTTTGCTTGTGGAACTTTGACATTTTATTTGAGGCCACATTGGTTCAATTCCGTTTTCTCCCAATTCATTTCACATTGCAACCGCATCGGCTGTGCCAGAGACTGTGTTATTACAAGGGTCTGACCTTGGATTGAGGTTTCTGTCGCAAAAGCAGCTGAAGAGGGTCCTGAATGTGGAAAGTGGATGTTTTCTCTTCAGACATGTCTTGCAGAATTATCTGGCTAGCGAAATGGCTTCTGTGAACAGAATGCTTGAGAAATGTCATGCAGTTAGCAATGATTAAGGAAGAAAGGTAAGTCTTCAACTCCTTGTTCTTAAAAGAATTTGGCTTGTTATTTATTGGGAAGACAACTAAGATGCAAAGAACTTTTCTGCTTCTTTAAGAAATTTGTTTTCTACTTTTTTGATTCTTCATAAGGCCAGAATGTATTTTCCTTGGGAACAGCTGACAAAAACATGATTTAGTGGCTTTTAGAGAGTTAGCATACTGATGTCCAAGAGGACATTGTTGTTGTTTTTTAAACTATTAAAAGGCAGGTTTTCATTTGGACTGCTGTAACAAAAATACCGTAAACTGGGTGGCTTAAACAACACTGTATTTCTGTCTCCCAGTTCTGGTGGCTGGAAATGTGATATCCGGGTGCCAGCATAGTCCGGTTATTGATGAAGACTCCCTTCCTGATTTGCA